AAAAAACAAAAAAAAAAAAAAAAAAAAAGGTCAAAGACAAAGCTTTATGTGTATGTTGGCACACATGTGAATTCAGGCTGCTGGGGAAAAAATGACACAAAGAGCACATTCATGGCCACATAGAACTCCCCGAACATATAAATAGCCATCCTTGACCCAACACCTACTCTGTGTGAGGCACTATGTTAGGAGGGGCACATATAGCATTACACTGAATTCTCCAGAAATATTCTGCCAAGCTCACTACTACTGGCCCCGTCATGTAGATGAAAAGAGACTGAGATTGAATTTGAGATTCTGAAGGGCTGCAGAGTTCGTCCAACAACACACAGCTAAAAAGATGGCAGAGCTGGAATTCAAACCTAGCTATATTTTGAACTCCTACCCCTGGCTTCCCTAATCCGGCACACTGATAGCCAGGAAAGCTGCAAAACTGGCCACACACCCCCGTTGGATCACGCAACACACCCTCCACGGGGCTCAGACGGGGAAAGGTAAATTAAGTCATAAGGAGGGATAGCAGTCTTATTTCAGACATTAATCTTCAACTCCTTTTTACCAAAACTTGTTTGTTTTCCCATGTTCTTTTTAACCAACCCAAGCAGCGATCATTTAATTGGCTAATTAAGTAGTTCATGTTCTCTCTTTTCCCCTCCTTATCTCTAACAAAGTGCACAGCACGGTTCTAAGGCTTCGAGTGAATTCAAAAAATACACAGCGCTTGGTGACTACGCAAAGAAGTTCAAATGCAGGCTAGGAGGTGAAAAAGAACACGAATAGGAAACCCGGGAGGGCGAGAGTGTGCAATCAAAGGGTTTATGTTTGCTTCCCATTTTAAGAACAAAAACCAGAGGCACTTCGTAAGGCTAGAACACACTAGGGAAAAAATCGTCATAGTTCTCGACCCCTGGCCCATCTATTCAGGACAGGAAGAACTCTCCTAAAAATTCTGATTTTTCTCTGATTTCCTTAGGTTCCTATATTAAAATAGTCTGAATGTTCTTTCCATTACAGCTGCCCACGCCACCCAGTATACGCAAACCTGAGTAACTGAAGTGTTACTAATAGCTATGTGTTAAAACAGCAGTAGAAGCTGGGAAGGTCCGTGCAAGTAGCAAGAAAGAGCTTCTCCAGCCATTTCTCTCAAGCAGGTCCTACACCTTCAGGAAAGCTCCCATCAAGAGCCTGTTCTTGAGATAAGAGAAGGTGTTTGTGGAGGGGCTTGGATAAACACCCCAAACTGTAGGAAGCCTGGGTGCTCTTCCCACTCTGATGTACTGGCCCGAGATCACTGAAAGCTGACCCTCTGCCACCTCAGTGCCACTGCACTAGAAGGAACTCTTCCAGGCAGGATCTGCTGAATCCTGGACCTTCAGGCTACAACAGCGTGCTAGAAGATGCTGGGTTTTTATAAAGTTTTAGGGAAGAAAAAGTAGTCCTTACGACTTTTAAAAGTAGAGCGTATTCTAACAAACACAGAGACATAAACTGTTTCTGCACTGCATGGCCACCCGTTCGGATTAGGGCAAAGAGCACCATGCTGTTCCGCTCCTATATATTAAGGCGATCATTTCTATGGCACACACTTTTCACCCCATCACCAAATGATAGGTAACTTCCATACAGGAGTCTGTAATGCTGCAGCAGCATCACCTATGACAGTCAAGTGGCTCTATAAAAGGCAACCGATGCCATTCAAATGAAACCTGCCATGGGCCAATTAGCGCCAATTAAAATTAAGATGGTCGCGCAACTGCTTGCTCCTAGTAGAAAGAGCATCAGGCGTGGAGGTGTGTCCAAAAGGAGGGACTGGGCTCCTCTGGAAGTTTTTGGTTCCCTTGAGTAGGTAACACGATTCCAGTTTAATTTCTGATATATATATATAAAATATATATATATATTAAGTATATATATTAAATATATTAAGTACACATATATATTTAAATGCTGTCCCTGCAACACTGGTCATAAATCCCCCTCTGGCCTCCAGACAGGTGTGAACTTTTTGTACATGTTTTTTGGAAGACTCTCACTTTGCACAAGCTGTTTCCTCTACCTGTTTCCTCAATCTCACCTCCAGGACCAAGCTTTCCCTGGCAAGTCCGACAACACTACAATTCTTCATTGGCCTGTGGGTTTCCTCCAGGAAGCGGCAGTGAGATCTTGTTACAGCATCTCTGTATCCCGGTTCCTAGCACAGAGTAGCAGCTCAATGCTAGGTTTGTTGAATGAATGAGTGAACTGATGCATATTAAGGAATTAGCACATTGGTGGAAACCCTGTGACCATATATGCAGCCTGCAGTCTAGAGATTCCTCACCTCCACAAAGAATCTGGGACAGCCAGTTCCTGAAAACCCCCGCAATCTCCTTAAATTGTAGGTGGGGTGTGGGTGGGGGTGACAGGAACAGAGGGAACAGAAAAATGGAGGTAGGGGCAGAGCTCCGTCCAGGTTCCTTCAAAAAGACAGAAACCCCACTTATAAGTATTCAAAACCCAGGTTTAGGGGCCATGCCAGGGAGAGTGTATTAACACCACCCTCAGAAGCTGTTAACAACACAGAGGTTTGAGAGTTTGAGGTGGAGACCTATTCTGAAATTATGTGGCCACAAGTTTTCCCTATGAGCCAGCCCAACCACCCAAGTAGGGGCCAAGAAGCCCAGGAGTTTGGTGGCAGGGCTGGGGCCTAGTGGGATGGCATAAAAACTCCTCTCTCTCCCAGGATCCTGTATCCCTGCCGGGCAGAGGAGGGTCGGGAAGCCTGTCCCTCTCCGCCGGAGCGACAGCAATGTCGCTGTCTTTCATCTTCCTGTCCCCAGACCCTGGGTATCTCCAGCTGCCCTTTCGAGGCCCTCTCTCTCATAACCGAAAAGCAGAAGGGAATGAGGAGGAGGGGGCGAGGGTGTGGGTTTAACCACAAGCTCTCCAGACAGCCCTCACCTTCCCCCTTAACTCCCCAGACAAGCTGGTGCGCCTCAGAGCGGGCAGCTCCCACTGCGACAGAAAACTCCTGCGGCCCGGCCACCTCGCGCCCCCGCTGCCCTGTCCACGTCCGGAGCCGCGGATCCCAAGTTGGCTTTGCCAGCCTTTGCCCAAGTTTGCATCCGCCAGGCGCCTGGGGCGCCCAGGCGGCCCCCAACCTCGGGCCCGACTCCCCCGCCCCATGCGGCGCTTACCTGCTTACATGGCCCCGTCGGAGCCCCGGAGTCCCGCGCAGAAAGGCTGTCCCTCCGCTGCGGCGGCGGAGCCTCAATTCCCCAAGGAATTGATTCCAGTGGCTGGCGGAGGAGGGGCGAAGGGAAAGAGCCAGAGGAGGCGAAAGGGGAGGGAGGGTTCCGCCGAGATCCGGGCGCTAGAGTCGGCGCAGGGGCGCACGGAGCTGGAGAAAAGGAAAGCCACCTAAGCCGCAGGGTGTCCCGCCCGACGTGGGGAATAAAGGGGGGCCGAGGCCGGGAGGCAGGGGAGGATGGCTCAAGTGGGAGGGGAGGGACCGCCAGCGGCCACTCTGGGTCTGCCGCTCCGGGAGGACCTGAGCCGGGAGGGCAGGCGGCAGGGCGAGCAGGAGCGCAGCAACCTGCCCCCTGCCTGCGCCCGCTCGGGGAGGAAAAGTTGGGAAGAACTTTTAAGGGCCGAGAGAGCCCGAGCGGCAGGAAACGCGAGCAGCCGGGAGAGGAGGGAGGAAGGGGCCGTGCGAGTGGGAGGGGACGGAGCAGGCGCCGGCGGCCACGATTCCCCCACCCCCGGGCCCGGCTCGGCGGCGCTGGGG